ATCCCAGTACATTATTATTGTTACATCACTTTATTACATATATAACATTGATAGGCAAATGGGATATACAAAAAACACAAGCGGCCATAAGAAGCAAACAATTATAAATATTTTAAAATATAAAAGTAGAGAAAATCAGACCAAAATGATAGATTAAACTAAACATTCACTTGATAAAAAAAAATCCCGATATTTGACGGATCCGACGACTTTATTCCTCACAAATATTTCTGTCCATCCAGCGACGTTTCTCAACGTGTAGTGTGTAGTGACAGTAGGCCTACTAGTCTATTTTACAAAATCTAGTTTTGCCTCTTTTAATTTTGCGACTGTATTGGTTGGCAACCTACTGGCCTGAGTTAGTCTAAATACACAGATCACATCTTCTTTTGTGATAGTTTCCCTCCACTCTTGACTGTCTTTAGTACACGGAATGCATACAGATGAATATGTTCCACTGTACCACGATACCTCCACTTTGTTTTCCGTAATACAGCACTTTCCCTATATGTGGCCATTCTGATGGGTACCTTTGTAGAGCTGTCGCTACCATTGCACCAAACTCTAGTTGCTGTGGCGGCTTCCGTTTAAAAAGTCGTCCAATATGAATCTTGGATAGAAGAAAACAACAACATATTAGTCAAAGTCACCTGTAAACTAGGCCCAATAGGTAATCATTTTAGTTATTCCGGAGACTTATTGTTAAGACCGTTATTATTTAATTTTTTATATCTTTCATTTACTTTTTTATTTATTGCTAACTTTCATTTTCATTGATTATGATGAAATATTTGAAAATATGTTATATATTATATGCATATTTACTATCATCAATTCATTACTTTGTAAATTTATGCTACACGATATTTTTTGAACAATGAATTTACCCTTATCTTCTTTTTAACATACACAGTAATTCAATTACTAAAAATATAAATAAAGTAGACAATACGATTTCAAATAGGGAACTCAACTAGTCAACATTTAAAGACCATCCCATAGTATTGTTATGCGATTAAGAGCGCCATATTAAAGTTTAACCTGTCTATTTCAATTTATTTTTTGTCACCATGCTACAAATTTGTAGCATGTCACCATGCTACAAATTAAGGAAACAATAAAATTGAAAATAAACCTGGTTTATGGTTATGTATTACATTAAAAAAAAAAAACCTATCAAAAACGTACCGGCTTTATTTCCTCTTCTTTGTCCGAGTCATCATCATCTCCTTCTTCTCCACTATTTGTCGTTTCATCCGTATGCGTGACACGATGATCATTGAAGATTATCGTGTGAAGCGGAAATCTTTCAGGTTCATTTTCAGGATCTAGAATTAAAAAAAATAATTATACACAATGTTATTACAAGGTTCAATTTTAAATCTTTGTTTCTATAATTTGTTTTCATTATAGCTTTTCTTCTTTGCATTGACATTTATTCATGTGAATGCTGTGTCTTGGTAAGACATTTGCTAGGAAATGGAGAGTGTGATATATTGAACTGAATTTGAAGTTTTTAAAATGCACTGTATTCTGTCAGACATTTCAGTGAATAGCCAATGAAAATTAATTTACTTGTACAATTTTATGCGCATCATAATTCACGCACTAAATCAAAACGAAAATAATTGCATCTTGTCTATATATAGTGCCTCCATAGGTCTAAATTGGCCTAGGTACGGTTATGTAAAAACTTACCAATAGCTTGTTTTCGTATCTTGTAAAATGTTGTCCGGCCAATTCCATATACTAACATCCAGGCTTTCGCACAAACTTCACTTGCACCGACCAATAGGCAAATTTTAACGCAACCTCCAGATTTATTCATATGCGTATGAAAATATGTCAGCATCCAACTACGTTGTTGGTACTCGGTTAAATCTTGGAATTCATTCCTAGCTTGCTCCGTTGAGATAAATTTTAGTGCACTGATGCGCATTAAAGTACAATAACAAAGCAAATGCAATGTCTGTATTGGCTGTAAGTATTTTCGTTTTCTACCTGCAGGAATAATTGGATATAAAACAAAATTTATTGGATATTTCCAATTATACCCCTATACTAAGTTTTAAATAACAAGCTTGACCGCGATTCGTTGGTATACACAAATGGGCGCATCGTTATTTGACAGGTTGTTTTACAATTCTTATAATTATCGAGTTTGATCTGTATATATATGTCCTTAAAAGACTACTGTACAGTAGTATTATACACCGAAAAAAATTATTGTCCTAAAAATAACGATTATTTTATATAATTACTTATCTACCATGTTTTTATTTTATTAAATCTCTATACCGCCTTTTGATCCTGTGGCTGATCAGCAGCAATACGACCATTGTTTGCGTTTTCGTTGTAAACAATACATTTCTCTACATAAGCTCAGTTAATATATTATTTATTTTGTGCATTGATCGCTATTAAAAAAAACAGTATCGAATTCAATAAAAACAAAGTGTTTTTTTTTTTATAATAATTACTTTACTTACCTTTATTTCCTGTAACAAAAACTACGGTTTCTTCTCCATCGTATAGACGGCCATCAGTTTCCAATCCTTCTGGTTCCAAAACTTCTGTGTGTAGATTTTGACTCCCTGTGTGACAAAAGGAAAAATAGATGGTTTCAAATTTTTTTATAGGAATCCGTAAGATTTTGTCAGGGTTTCTTGTCGACACTCTTATTTTGGCATAGGTTTTAAACATAGAAAATTGTTATTTTACAGATGTGTATGTACTATATTACACTTTTGTAAATCTCAAATTAAGTTAGCATAGGCCTACCATTAACTACCAATTAACAACAAAACTCAAAATACGGTCACCCATTAATACTATAAATATACGGTCACTATAAATATGCATGAACTTGTTTGTTGAAGTGGAGTGACCGGACCTCACATAAATTTGCCTAAAATATATCACAGCAGGTTTGTCAAGAGTGAATAACATTAGAAAGTTTTCTTTTGAACTTACCAGAATCCATAATATCTTGATCATCAGAGTTAATGTCTGTTAAAGAATGGCCAACATTCGCATTTTTGGTGGTGATCATTTGAGTGGGACTGACTTCAACAATCTCAACTGATGAAGATATGCCACGTTTTCACTTGTACTTGAATAGTGAAGCATCAATTCTGAATCACTAATCATCGTAAACTGCGTAGTGCGCATAGATTAATATTTTACTAACTTGAAACTGATAGGTGATACATATGTTGTAAGGCCACTAGATACAAGAGTAAAGTGATATGTCTCACTCCATTCGATGTTCACAAACAAAAATCCTAATCTTGTTTAAAAAAGCGCGAACATTTGTGATTGGTTGGTCCACGGTTGATGGAGTTGACTGTTTAAAATCATAAGGGAGGTCAGGGTCCAGAGGAAACAAATTAAATGTTGTAAAACTGTTTTTTGTAATAAAGAAAAAATTATTTGTTATGTGTAATTTTAATTACGAGACACTTTTAGTAGGCCTACTTAAGATACAAGTGGGATTAAATTCAGGCATTATCAAAATAATTACCCAATAAAAAATGGTATCTGCCTTGTCGACGGTCCATGGATTGACGTACAAGGCCTACTACAATTAGTAATTTTCACACTAATGCATCGAACACATATAATGATCTACAATAAATGCCTATACTGTACAACTCGTAGGTAGAGGCGTTGATCAGGGTGAAGGAATTTAAATCTTCAGAGAGAGACTCGTATTAAAAGTATCGCACACTTTATTCCAACTAGAGTTGTAAATTGAACTCTTAAAATTACATAGCCCTAAATTATTTCAGTTGCATATATTTTGCCAATGAAATATTCATATAAAATAAAATGCAATATTCATTATTTAAATGGGTCTTTAAATTAATTCTTATTATTTATTTTGGCTGTTGGCTTTTAGCTACTGATGAATTAATACGGTAATACTAGATTTTAAAATAATAACATGACTAATTTTATATAGGCGTACTATTTGATTTAAATATATATAACCATGCAAGATATAAATAAAATAAATGAAATATTTATTACAAAGCTTTTCACCATGTTCCATTCTTGCTCTCCCTACCCCTTACTCTAAATTTCAAAGTTAAAACTGAGTATTAAAAAACAATTACAAACAACAATAATTATCTCTATAAATTAATATAAGCCGTTAGGCCTATGCTTTATACAATCTCGCCTAGGTACATATACATTTCAAAAAATTATGAGTTACAATTTTTTTTTGTGATTTAATAATGTTCTTGTACTGTATTGGGTCTTATAGTACAGCGGCATCATAAACAAATACAAACAACAATAATTAACTTTATAATTTAATCTTACAAGCCGTTAGGCCTAGACTTCATACAATCTCGTCTACGTACATATTCACTTCTAAGGATGATTTTTGTGATTTAATAATGTTCATGTATTGGGTATCATATATTATTTCATGTACAGGTCTAAAATGCAGTGCAATGTACACTCCAAGTATAATTAAGCCTATATGAATGGGTGTATATATATATATAACCAAAGGATCTACTACTCCGTGCAACAGACCGAGGTGTAATACTTGTGCTTACGTGTACTC